GTGTGTGTGCTTGAGCCAAATCCCCGGGACCCCGAAACAACGCGGCACATGACGCCCCGGCAGAGCGCACGCACCCAGCCACCTAATTTCGAGGTGCGAAAATGGACTGGCTGGGGAAAGGGCTACGAGACAACATTTGAAACGAAACAAGCGCCCCACCTGAAGGGGGCACAAACACACCTAATGGCCATCCACTTGGGAGAAGAAGCACATCAAAAAGGTGCCCGGGCGAACAATTGGCGCTCCTCGCTTAGCCTTAGGCTGAGGAATGCACGTTCCGGATAGTTTTCACTTCGAAAACAAGCTGACCCGGGCGACCCAAGTTCACACTAAAGTCTGCTCCAATGAGCAGCTCCTCCGGGTAAACAACAAGAGCACAGTTCAAGAAAACACAGACGTCTGGCTGATACTTGGTATGTCTGGGGACTTTAGAGCAGGATTCAGCTTACTAGTTTAGAAAACGTGGTTTATGCAAAAACGTCATGCCAAATCGCCCTCCTGATATCGAAATTCAGAATGTCGACATTATTTTGTTAATAGGATTCGGAGTGGTTCTCGGGCGTTTTCTTTAAGTCAATTTCAACAATTTAGGCATTACGTAATTTCGGCACTACGAAACATGGGACAATTTAAGAACCCCAATTATGACTGCGTAGACTGCGAAGTCGTCGAGGAATTCTGGGCTGGATTACGGTCTAGAACGGAGAATTTGGAAGGTTTTTAGGGTACGGTAATCTAGTGAAAGCTCTAACCGGGCAATATTCAGCTAACTAGCGTAATTTAAGGCTTTTTTGACTTGAAAGCGAGGAAAATTTAGATTCGCGGCAACCCGATGATATGCTAAATTGCTTTAACCACTATATCGTAATACGCCTCTCCAAAATCCTTTGCAAAAAAGATCGTTCTGCAGGGTAAGTAGGCAATTTCGTGTTAAGCGTTACATCAAGTTCCAAACACTTTTTACTCCTGAAAACTAAGAACAAAGCCTAGCCTTAGGCTTAAGACTGGAAAAGGCTTAGGTTTAGGCTTATGCTTTGGATTTGGCTTGGACTTCCCCCCTCCTCGGCTTCGCTTAGGTTTTATCCCCTCGATTTGCCATCCAAACTATCCAAACTCACATTGACTCCGAGCATTCTGCGGCGCGATCTGAACTCTCAGCAGATTACGCAACGTCGGCTGTGCGTTTGTATCAATTCTCTAAAACATGACAATATTCCCTCCTTCTGCTAATATGCTATGTGTACCTGTAATGACAGCTGATGTCCGGCTCCCCGTTGATGGGTAAAAATGGTGGACGATCCATCATTTTGGGGCCTCGTCGCCGGGACGGCTGCTGCAAAAATGCAAAATTTATGGCTCTGGCCGTTTTTGAAAGATTCCCGATGATGGCACTGACCAACTGAGGGGCTGGAAGCACTGCGGAAGATGACAGGTGGTAGGTAGGAAGATGGGACCATACTTTGGCGAGGCAGGATTTTTACGGGTACTGAAAATTAGAATTTAGGCTATAAAATTAGCTGTTAAGATGTTTGGGATGGTAATCGACTTATTTTGATCGTGCCAAAAATTACAACGCCGCAATCACCTCTGAAATTTAATTTGCGAAAATTAACTTGTCGAAAGCCTTCGATATTTCGTTTTGCCGAAGATTCAATTTTTCAAAATTACCGGGGGTTGTAATGAGTTTTTGGTCATTAACAGCCTGTTAGTGACCAAAAAAATCATTTGACCATTTGTCTATGTGGCTACGATGGATTTTGGATAATTCTGATTTTCGACAAATGAAAGTTCGATAGCGTGAAATTTCCGGTAAATGATCGGTGGTATTTTTTGACAGGGTACGTTTGGGCATTCTAATTTTCGACATTGTGTTCGCAAATAATGAGAGTATTATCGCTCTATACCTACCAACTCTTCGCATCCCATTATCCGGTTGGGGCCGGGGTTCAATTCTTTGCAGGGTTGAGCTCATCGCTAAAACATGGAACCTTAAATATACCTCAAGCCCTAAACAGAAAACGAAATTCAACCCAGTTCCGTATTAGGAAATACCCCCATCCATGCCTTCCCCTTTGTATGCGTAATCGGGGCCTGGCATCTTGCCAGAAGGCGAGGTACGGTAGAGGGTGCGCGATATCGCGCCCGCCTTTCGGCACCTCACCCCAAAGCCGTGTAGCAACAAAAATGTGCTATTTACGGTGTACTAAACATCAAAAATAGAATATTTATTTGCCATAAAATGTACCCATAATATCGAAAATCGTGAGCCTGTTCTAGTCTAATTTCGGGCTTGCGGGTTAGGAACTCTGGCTTTGACTGCTCCCCGCGGAGCTTTGAAGTCGTTTTCTGATGATTGGCCCGTATTCGCTGACCTAAAAATTAAGGTATCAGCAAGATATTAAGGACAAAAATAAGCGTTAGTCGAAGTCAAAAGCTACCTTTTTAATAAGCGTCGCCTCATCCATCGAATCGTCAAGCTCCTTGAGTAATAATTCCCGCTCTTCGTCATTTAGATTCTAAGCCATTTAGCTAATGAAAACGGAATGATTCGAATACCTGCATAACTTCCAATGCTTCGCTCTCATTTTCAGTAATTTGGCCAATAGACGTTGTCCGCTGCAGCCGATCAAAGTATCGTTTTTGATACATTTGCACGAGCTTTGAGGATACCTATTAATGCGTAGACTAGTGATACCGTAACTCCCGTACCCTCTCCCTTTTCAACATTCCATCCCACTCCAAATCCACCAATCCTCCCTTGTGGGCGATTGCCCGTTTGACACGGCGAGAAAAGGCGATCGCGTCCTCGTCATCCTGAGGAATTTACGTAATAAAACTTCTTCAACAGTTATATACCTTTCGCGTCATTTTTGGTAGATACCATACGTCACAAATAATAGCCCACGAAGTCATCATTCTCCAGAGATACTAGAAATTGTGAATTTACAAAAATTATGTCGATTCACCTCGCCATAAGACTGTTCCGACGAGTTCCAAAAGGCGTCCGTAAGTCGGCTATCATATTTCATAGCGATCGGATAGATTGTAGAGCCAATCTGGTAACGTTTTAATTGAACCTACCTTGTCGAATTCTTACCTCGAAAGATCCTTTCTTAAACATCATCACACTTGTATTATTTATACAGGTACCCTCGGGGAAGATGATAATCGGTAACTTTGACGGGTCATTAGTGTGTGCGCGTAGTCTAAATTTGACAGGGATTAATGTTATATTAGTTACTTACCGATCAGTAACTTTTTTCCTATCCCCGGCCTCGCTTCTCTCAAACCAAATGTGGTGCTCCGCTTTGCTGAGGGCCGTTTGCATGAAACCTACAAAAATTAAGAAATTTTGGTTATGATTGCAATTTTTAGAGTATTAGTGGTAACTTACCTAAAATTCCTCCCTGTTTCTGTCCAATCATAGCGTAACAGTTGTCCGTACTTAGTATCAAGACGTCAATCGGGGAAGTATGGTTGGCTACGCAGATCCCACCCTGATTCGCTCGGTTTTCTCTACAAAAATAAATTGTAGCATATTAAATTACGCTGAATTTTTTCTATCCAAAAAAACTTTCAAACAATCCATTTTTAATACTTACTGATTATGGAATCGAATGATCGATGAGAAACTCCTCGCCACGATCCGTTGTGACATCAGCATCGCGTGTTTGTAGGCAAATTTTCGGATCCTATGACGGTTTTAGATTTCTTAAAAAACTATACTTTTTATGCGGAATCATGCCGATGATAAAGCACGATCCGGCCATCATCGAGAATCCGACAGCAAAAATGACAACTCGAAGTGGAACGAGGATGAAGTAGCGCAGGAAGAAGCCGCCTACCCAGAGTGCGGATAGCTTCCAGCTAAAAGTTAGTATATTGCGGGATGTAGCTAAAAAGCCCTCGAACCTTCTAATGCAAAATTCCGATCGTAATATATCGATATACCAACCTGATGTGATGGAAAGAAAACCGAGTCCTGGTCAATAAATTCCAAGATGATAACTCCTCGGCCTTAAATCGGCTGGTAACTTGATCTTCAATAATCGCCTCCATCCCTGCCTAATAAGCAAAATTTGATGTAAGCTTTATTTAGCTTACCGTCGCAAAATCGAGACTATCGTTGACGATCACTCGAACTGTCTTTTGCTGATTTTCCTCTGGTTCGTTGCCATCGAGCTTTGACTCGACAAATGTGGATTTTTCACGCACAATGATACCTGCGGTAGCGTTTTTAGGTGGTTTACGGTATTAGCTTACCGATATCGCTACTCGAGGATCGTCGCAATTTCCTGCGTCCCGTTCCTGGTTCTTCGTCATCCACTTCAGCGGGTGCTTCATAGGCTTCGATAGCCGAGCCCCACTAAACCGTGTTTTCAAACGTTACTTTTGTATTATTGAATTAAATCTGTAAAATCTGGATTTCAGTTTGAATTATAAACTATTCTTGATACAGAATTGAAATATTTTACTTAGAGGTAGAGAGAGAGAGAATGAGAGAGAGAGAGAGAGAGAGAGAGAAAAGACTTGAGGCAAATCCCAAAATTGCCGGGGTCTCACCTCAAATATCCTCGTCAGCACATCGACATACCACTCTCGAATTCCCAACGATTTTCCGAATATTGCCAGTACGATGACGACAGCTAGTAATAAAGCGACAAGCGGGAAAAATATCGGTAAAAGTATTAGCATTCTCTGTTTGGATCTGGTCTGAAAGTGTTGAAAAATATACACGATCATGAAATTGAATAAAAAGCATAAAAAGATTAGCAAGAAATTGACTGCTGATCAAAATCAACGCCAAGGTCACGGGGCAAGAAGCAGGGCAAAAGCAAGGTCGATGATTACGACATTACCCCCCAAAATCTTGAGGGTATAGGTTGTTTACGGGTTGCGGGAGCAGCCTCCAAAATACACAAAAAGAGAGTTGGCGGCGAGTGATGGGCTGGCTGCTGCCCAGGCCAAAGGAGAAGAATTGGGGGTACACACCGGGGCAACACGCGCTTATCCGAGAGTAGCTTGCCGTTTCTCTGATCTTGCCCTCACACGCACAAAAAAAATCTATAACTGATTACGGCAGGAAATGGAGGGGCGGGGTGGTGGGCTGATCGCTGAGGCCTTGATTGCTTTCAAATTGAAAGTAAATCGTGGGGGGGTCTGTTACGTTGATAGAAATCTAGCAGAGTCGTACGCACATTAATGAAATTCGGGATATGCCCTAGGCTTGATGACACCCAAAAGGCACTCCTTGTTAGGCTAGGCTTTTCACATAGGCTTCATTTGGGCTTCATTTAGGCTTCGCTTAGGCTTAGGCTTAGGTATCTTAGGCTTGGCTTGAGCTTAGGCTTCGGGCTTAGGCGTATGCTGAGACGTAGGCTAAGTCCACGCTTAGGTTTAGGCTTAAGCTTATGCTGTTGTGTAGGCTTAGGCGTTGGCTTCAACTAGGGTTTAGACTTACGCTTAGCCTTCATTTATCAATTCAACGCTCTTCACTAGCGCACAATTTATCTGGTATTTTCGATATATTTACAAGACAATATATTTGGTCATTGGTCGATTCGAATGGTGGGTGGTGGATCCTGTAGTGTGTCCTGACTGGCGGTGAGTTGCAACGATGAGGGCTGTCGCTGCTAAATGTGCTTCTATTTAATCTAGAGCCCGTTTCCCGTAAATTGAAAATGTTAGTAAGCTACAAACTTTGCGGGTGGCGGCCGTTAATAGGCAGGCGTGATAAGCGGGTTGCTGTTAGTAGCGCGCTTTCACAGGGCGTTAGATCTTTAATCGGTAAATGAGAAATTGTTTAGGTAAACTTAAATTTCTTTTAATTTTAATAACGTTATATACCGTTGAAAACTTCGAAAGTAGAAGAATTACAAGGAACTTTCTTAAGCTCAAGAATCGGGTGTTTCGTGGGTATAATTTGATATTTTTTGGTCTCTGGCGAGACGGTTAGTATGATATTATTATCACCACAATCTATCACCAACTTTATCGGCCTTCTCGATCTGCCGCTGTATCCGTCGCGCTACGCAATTGTACCAAAGAACGATGACCACAAGGCAGGCGCCGAACGGAATGAACACCGGCGACATTACAGCCTAGAAAATATCGTTCGGGTCGGCGAATCCGGTTTTTTCTGATCGGATAGGACTTGAGATTGTTTGTTACGCACTAAGCAATCTGGGAATTTTTTAAACCTTTAGATTTTAGTCAATGAAATTAAGGGTCCTTTTCCATTATCGGGGGCTTTTTGCCCAATTTTTGTTCTAATGGGGTCCAACTGGTTCTACGGTGTTTTTAACTACTCTTAATTGCACAAAACTTTACGAAATCGAAGAAAATCATTAAAAATATGGAATTTCAACAAAAATATCAAATTTCTGCACATTTTTGAGTTTTTCCATAGCTATTTTCCGCTTAAAATAGAGCTAAATTTGTGACAAACACTATGCACCGATTTACTAGCCTGAAAGAAAAATCTTCGGCCCACATCCGAGAATACAAAAGCACCTATTACAACCGGCCAATCACAGAACTCACAATTGCGGCGATGATGCGCTGCTCGGTGAAGAAATCGTCGCCAAGTCCATGAACGGTTGGGTTCTGAATCCGCTTATATAGGTCCCAGATTATTGCTAATTTTTCTAATTTCCGTTGAGCTGGGACCCCCACGCGCCTTGATCGCCCGCTTCCTGTTGGGGGCGATTCCAAAGGAGAGTTCCCCACGGATTCTAGTCCAATTACCGTGGGAAGGCGGTGGTTGAGCGGGCGGCGGCATGTTTTTGCGCCGATGTTCGGTTCAAAACACTTGGCGGACCAGTTTCGAGGTAGATCCGAATGAAGTGGGATGAGAATGCTAACAGGCTGTAAGCTCGCAAATAGTTTTTGGCGTTTTCAAAGGGTACGATACACAGGAACAAAAGAGTAGAAATAACAGAAACGCTTAGTATTAGGGTGTCGATAGGGGCGCCAGCGTAGTTGTACTTCGCCTTACCCCAGGTCTTTAAGCCAGTTACAAGAATCTTTTGCACAGAAATCGTCTGTTTGAAAATCTTCCGGTCGAAAATTTGC